ATACATTCCAAGAGACAGACACTTGCTGGCTACACTATTTTTTTGAAATGTAGCAGCGAGAGCCTGCAAAAAAAGATTTTGTTGTCCCTTCAACTCTTGTTCTTTTAATTTGCATAAATATTTATGTGTGACTGTGTGCGTGTGTGGGGCATAAATGCAAATATCATTGCAGAGGCATTCATAAAAACACACACATAGACTCATTCATTCATGCAACCAACCATTCATATGTTCATCCATTCGCTTATATACACACATAACCATATACAATAATACCATACAACATAACGCGATATGATATTGTATTGACCCGTTTATTCAAGTGTAAAATAAATATTTGTTAACAGAGATAACAGCAGCCATTCATGCCTGTCCAATGTACTAACAAACAGGCTCGTTCACACACACACATACATGTCCATATTTGTTCATATATTCTGCTATGCATTTCTCTTCGAGCGTACATGAAGATGATATGTGTTGTGGATACATATAGGTTGTAAATGGAGACATAAAAACCAACTGATGCCGTTTATAAGGGAAATATTTAGACTCTCACAAATAAGCATAAATAAATAGACTGACCATTGGTCTTCCGGGCTTTGGATACATGGAATAAAATATTACAAATGTCAACAGAAAAAAGATATTGTAGATTTTTGACAAGTTTATTAGCACTTATCCAGTCTTCTTGGGGGAAAATTACTCGAAGCCTCGATTTCGACTACTCGAAAATGAGCAGAGCGTACTCGCTCTTATTCGAGTGGCATAGAAAAAAAAATAGAGAGCGAGTTATTTGTTTTCTACTTTTATTTTCTTTAATTTTAGAGCACCCTCTACTCGCATTGTGTCTAGGATGGTTGGTATTAAAATGAGATATATCGGTCCACGTTTTGCCATAGTCCTCATATAACCGTGCCTCCCGATATTCGGTATTTTGATGATTTTTCCCACATTTTTTCACGTATTTGTCTAAAAATTGGTATTTGTGTGTCCTAATGGGTTCTAGCTCCTTTGCTGAAACATTGTATATATAAGTTAATGTTTTTGTATTGCCCCATATAGCGGTACCTCCCGATATTCGATATTTTTTATATGATTTTTGCCACATTTTCCCACGAATATGTGTAAAAAGTGGTATTTGTTGGTCATAATGGGTTCTAATGTTTCCTTTACCCTAAGATGGAGGGTATTAAAAGTTCGCCCCGGCCGAACTTAGCTGCTTTTTACTTGTTATTCAGTAAAATTCCCATCAATGACAATATATCAATTATAACGAACCTCACGCTTTTTCATAAAGCTTTGTAATGCAAGTTGTGATTTTCTTCAATATAGGTGTCGGCGAATATTCTATTAAAATCTGAACAAGAAAAAAATATGGTCAAAGGGGATCTCAAAACTGCCGTTCACACGTCAGCAATTCACGGATTATTGCTAAGTAATGTACGACAACCATCAACTGTCTTTTGTTTTGTGTCAAAACTGAGATTACGCTCTGCTCATATCAAATATTCCTGAAGTTACAGTAGCTGTTATTTGTATTGCTCTCGTAGTTACAGTACCCCTTGAGAATCCACTGTGTTTATAATCTTCGGTGCAAAATTTTTCCAGGTCCTAACATAGCATACCAATCTCTGACCGTTAATTATCTTCACACAGTGTCCTGAAACTCATCTTCTAGGCAATTTTTTTGTTGCAATTGTATTTTCCCTTAAATAGCTAATAATCCAAGAAATGTCAAATTATTGTTTCTTTTTTTTAAATTATGGCCCACTAATGATTTTTGATTCAGCAGCGCCATCTACCTTTCGGACCAAAAATTGTTCAACTATGCCCGCTTTTACATTTTCCGTAGGCTTTATATTTTAAGTCTTCATTGTAGACATACAGCTTATTAGAGATCTCTATTAAGATGATACGAAGTTAATCCTAGAAGCGCCATCTATGTATCGAACCAGAAACATTTCATTTCATCTATTAGATCCATCTTTATTCTTTTCCGGGTCCATTTCAGTTTGTTATATTTTAAGTCTACATTATTTGAATTCAGTTCAATTCTAAAGGCCTGCTTAATATTATATCGATTTTTACTGGCAGCACCATCTGCATGTCGATTCGGAGACATTTCAACTGGCCTATTACATTCATCCTTATCTTTCCTTAGGCTGATTTCAGCTGTCTTATGTTTTAAGTCTACGTTGTGTAAATGCAAGTCAATTCCAAAAGCCTACAAAAATTCAGAGCCATCTATGAGTCAGCCTATGGAGTTTATAATAAACCTATTATACCTATATTGATTTTTCCCCAGGCCTATTTCAGGTGTCTTAGATTTAAAGTTTACATTGTACGAAGGTCGGTAAATTCCATAGGTCCACTAAAAATCATGCAGATTTCATACTGGCAGCGCCATCTGCGTGTATATCTGGAAACATTTCAACTATCTTATTATCTATCTGATCCTTTTCCCAGGCCGATTTCAGTTGCCCAACATTTTAAGTCTACATTGCAAAAATGCAAGTCAATTCCAGAGGCCCACTAAAACCAGTTTACACATGATGTTAGAGTTCTTCCTTCTTTATCGGAAAGAACAAAATTGGCCGTCCACCTATTAAATTTGAATGAAATATTAATGCCAGTCCAAGGTCCAGTTTATACATCATGGTAGAGTTGAGTGAGTTTATATTTATTTTAATCCTTTTTATACCCTCCATCATAGTATGGAGGGAATAATAAGTTTGTCATTCAGTTTGTAACACCTCGAAATATACATTTTAAACCCCACAAGGTATATATATTCTTGACCAGCATAAAATTTTATGTCGATTTAGCGATGTCCGCCCGTCTGTGAAAATCACTCTAGCTTCCGAAGTAGGTTGATCAAATTTTACTCAAATGTATATTATGTCTGAGGACTTTTGGAATAAAAAATGGGCCATGTAGGTCCATGTTTTGGTATAGCCCCTTTTTAGGTATTTTGATGATTTAAGCGACATTATTCACCTGAATTGTTTCCAATTTGAGTTCGTAATGGATACTACAGCCTATGATAAAAAAATTGTCTGTGTAGGTCCACATTTTTGTGTAGGTCCCTTAAAAGAGTACCACCCTCGGTATTTTAATGATTTTAGCTACATTATTCACCGATTTTTTCAAGTTTCCCATTTGAATATTGTAAAGGCTTATGACAAAAATTGCCTACGCAGGTCCACGTCGTCGTATGGACCCTAATATAATTGCTACGTTCGGCATTTTGAAGATTTTAGAAGAATTGTTAACGAAATTTATTTATTTTTTATTTATTTATTTATTTATTTATTTTTTTTTTTTTTTTTTTTTGAAAGATGCCAAATTCGTTCGTTCGGTGGAGGGCATTAAAAGTTCGGCCCGGCCAAACATACAGCTTTCTTGCTTGTTATAGCATACTTTAAGGTTTTTACAGTATTTTTTTTTTAATCTTAAAAGATAAACAAGTCTTTTAAAACTTTATCCTTTATAATGTTGTATAAAATGCTTTTATATTATACTATATATATCATATATGTGTTTTGAGTTTTGTTTAAAAATTCTGAAAATCATCCAAAAATATACCCTGGAAATGCACAAATTAATGTGGAAAAATATACTAATATGATGGGTAATCTTTTATCAAATATCTTCAACACTAATTTTATGCAGTTCATATAACTGTAAATCTAAATTCAATTCAGTCCTGAAAATCAAAATAAAATATTAAAATTGATTTCCGTGAGTTTTCTGTCTTCTGCTCATTCCACTTGTATTACACTAAATGTCATTTCATTTATTCAATATGTCTCCGGCCAATCATTCTTTATGCTCTTCAAATATCGATGAAAAGATATCTCCGTGAACACCTGTCAGTATTGGCAAAATCAATTAAATTTTTTATTCTAGACAATAATATCACATCGATGACGATGATGATTCTTTTTGGTTTTCGAATAAAAGTTATATTCCGCCACCAATCACCCATAAATTCCCTACAGAAACAGATAAATGTATTTATGTGTGTATGAATGAATTCAGGCAGGTGTGCATTATGATGGAGGTCCAGTCGTATGGAAGAGAGCTGAATTTGCTATTGAATGAATGATGGATGAATATATGCAGATGTTTTCACACGCAAGTTATTGAGGTTTTTGGTTTTATTTGATTTTTTTGCCATTTTTCTGAATTCAATTCAGGAAAAAGATATAACAAAAAAATCCCTGCATTCAAAAACATAGTTGTTACATAAAATGCAACAGTGGCAAGTGCAAGCAAATAAAAGAACTCAGCATACCAGCTCTTCTTCTCTCCTACAAATCAATGAAAAAAACCAGCACACACACACAAAACCAAACCCCAATCGAATGATGGTCAGCATGTCCAACGAAAAAAAAATCAATAATTTACACAAAAAGCAAAAAAAAAATATATAAAATCGCTCAGTGAAGTATTTATAAAAAATTCTTTACTTTCCACACCAACAGTGTAAAAAGTAATAAATAAATGCCATAATGTATGCAAGCAGCGAAGGGCGGGGGTCATATGAAGAGATGGAGGGAGGATGCACTGAAAATTAATAAAGATATTTTTCCAATATTTAACAGCAAATATTATTTCCTACTGCCATTTTTGTTTTTTTTTATTTTGCATATGACCAGCCAAGGCAGTTGTTTAAAATTCCATATTCATTGCCTACTTTTAGGCTCCCATATTACTATGGGAAAATCTGCAATAAATATATATATACAATCAAAATGGTTTGGGGCAATCCATGTTGTGTATGAGTGAATATCGAAAAATATATACATCCGAGCAATTTGCTTGGCATCCTTATTAATTTCCGAAAAGAATGCCAACAACTTTCTCCCATAATGTGTACAAACTGTTGTTGTTATTCTCATTATTTTTTTCTTAATAAAATTCCTTTTATTGCCATTGTTGTTGTTATTGATTCATTATTACATATTTTTTGTGTTTTTGTTTCGTTTTTACAGGTTGTTGAATTAATTGATGCTGCAGCCATTAACTCTACCGCCGTAAGATTGGATTGGGTTATGCATGTAAGCGTAACCGAGAAATATGTTGAGGTATGTATACGCTGGTTTGGTTGACTACCAGACTGGTTGACGTGCCAGGAAAAAAACAACTTTTTCTCATTAAAAAATTTTCTGCGCCAAGTCATTTACAATAATGAGTTAATTACATGTAAAATTTTCTTCTTTGCTGCCTACTTTCAGGGTCTGTATATACGCTATCGTGATGTTAGTGCCAACTCCCAACAATACAATATTCTGACCGTATTGAATCCTTCAATTGAGTCACATGTGGTTGGTAATTTAAAGGAATACACCAAATATGAATTCTTTTTGGCGCCATTCTTTCAAACACTGGAGGGTCAGCCGAGCAATTCGAAAATTGTCCAGACCTATGAAGATGGTAAGTTAAGTAATAATAAGTGGGGAAGTGTTGAATGGTATTTATGGCTGGAAGGGCTTTTATGGGTATTTAAAGGGGAAAGCATAAATATCAATGAATAAAACACTTTCAGGAAAACTTGTGTAGATGGAAGATTTTCAGTGGGTATTTTAAAGACAGAAGACCAATATGGTCTACTATGACACAGAGACTTTCAAAAGACCTTCTAGATGCCGAAGATCTTCAAAGAACTCCTTAATGGACCGAAGGCCTTCAAAGGGTCTTCTATAACCCTTATTTTATTTTTCTATAGATCTTCAACATGTCTTCTTTTGATAGAGGAAGGTCTTCCATAGACCGACCAAAGTGTCTCTTTCTCTAGTTTTCCTTTTTAGATCGAGGACTTAAAATTGTTTCCTAAAGGCTAAATAGCTTTTAAAGCTTTTCTACTGACTGATCCTTACAATATTTACTATAGACAGAAGAGCTTAAAATGTTGTTAAATGGCGATACATTTAATAAAGTATTTTGGGAAGTCTCCTATTTACAGAAAGCCTTCCAAAGGTCCTATTAAAACATGCTATTTAAGTATAGTATGGATGGATGGCTTTTCTCTCGAAAGATTGATTTTCTATGTATAGGAGATCTTTAAAAGGTATTTTTCTAGGGCAGAAAATATTCAAAAGATATTTCCGGACGGAAGGCCTTTGGATGGATTTCTAAACAAATAAGACCTTCAAAAGGTATTCTAAAGAAAGAAGATAGATAATGACTTTCTATTTACAAAAGACCTTCAAAAGCCCTATTATGGAAAGGTGACTTTCTGAAAGTGTTCTATGGATAAGAGACCTCTTTGCGGTCTTCCCAAGTTCTGGAAATCGTCCTGGATAGAAAGCACATACCTAGAACAACTTTAAGACACAAAAAAGAGTATTAGGAACGGTACTTTAATAAACAGAGGATTTTCTGAGGTTCTTCTAGATAAAAAAACATTGAAAATTACTTCCGTGAAAGGAAGATATTTCAAAAAAAATTTATATGGATATAAATCTTTGGAAGGTTTTCTAGGTATAGAATCTGGTTGAATCATCGTCTAGAAACAGATACTAAGAAACTGACACTACATCCAGGCCATATTAAATCAAGGAAAGAACCCTTTAAAAAGTATTTGTTTATGGGAAAATATTCTAAAGGTCTCCTGTGTAGGGAAGAGCTTCAGAGGGTATTCTGGGCATATATTTCGATTGGAAGCTCTACCAGGTTCGGATGACGTATACAAGCCCTTATGAGATCTTTTAAAGGTCCTCTATATTGAAAAGATTCAAAACTTCTTCTATGTTGTTTATATGTAGAACACCCTCAAAGTGTCTTTATTGAGAGTAGACGTTCAAATGAACTTTCATGGATAATTATTCTTCAAAAGGTCTAAAACGTTTTTAAAAACTGCCGACAGAAGATATTCGAAGTGTTTTCTAATATATTTTCAAAAATCTCCTTAAAGGCTACATTATACATCATGTTGGAGTAATATATAGGGTCTTTTTCACATTTTATATTTTTACATTTTTGTAGCATACTTCTAAGCGTTCCCTTTGATTTTTAAACTTAAAAGGTAAAAATTAAGCACTGACGCAGAATAAATCATATCCAGCTCAGCATTTTCTTTAATTTTCCTTGTCAAATTTGACTGAATATAAAAAAGTTCTACATCTCTGGTTAGTGTGTAAAATACTTATATATTTTAACAATGAGAAGTTGTCAAATGTAGAAGTATGAAAAAAATTTTAACATATGATTGTTCGAGGTTATCTTCTTAATTCAAGCATGGGAATCATATATGATATATTTATGTTGTTCTTGTACTAAAAATATATTTTTTTTCTAAATTTTGAAGTTTTTTAATGTAAACATTATGGTGAGCGCCTGAAACTATGCTATCAAATGCCAAAAAAATATATAGAAAAAGTCACATTACATTTTTTTCACTTTTCACATTGTTTTTCTAAATTGTGAAGTCTTTAATGTAAAGATGAGCTGTGACCGCCTAAAATTATGTTTTCAAATGCCAAAAATATGTAGAAAAAGTCTCTACATATTTTTCTTTAGACTAGCCTTAAGATAGAAGATCTTTCATAATACCTGTTTTTGATATATCTGACTTATAATGCAGCTATTTAAGACGCCTGAAGACGCTCTCTTTAGGTCATATTTTCAACTCTTCAAGTGCCACTCCTTCCTGCTGGCACTCTTTTTCCATTTGGAACCTCTTTTTTTAAAAGTTACCTACCTCCTATATCCCCTAGCCCTGAGTTTTTTTTTTTTTTTTTGATATTTTTTTTGGTTCGCTGTTCCTTTGAAAAGTTATCGTTGCGGTTGGTTGCTTCGCTCAGCTTGTATATCCCTATTGTGAACTTTTTTGGTCGCTTATGTTTATGCCACGGGTAATGTCTACGTGTTACTATGACGTTTTAACATGTCCTTTGGCAATTTAATAATAAAAAACTTTTTGTTCTTTCCAAGCGCAACATTGGAGCTTTTTCTGCATTTTGGTTGCTTGGCAATAGCAGGACGATGCATACTTTATACAAAGACCATGCCATATGAATACACTCATACATTTATTAGGGTGGTAAAGAAGAATCAGGGAAATTTGTAGAGAAATGTCCACATTTGGAAGCTGTAATGCAAATGTAATTTGGGTGGGGAGGAAAATGCAAAAAAAATTTTTTTTTATTTTTATTTTATGTATTTATTTATTAATTTTGTTTTTTATTACTATATATATATGTATATATATATATATATATATATATATATATATATATACACTTGTGCTCACACAATTAAGTTACTATACATTGCCTTATAAAAACAGACAATAAAATTGCAACGGTGTATTTTTTGCATATTCTCCTTTGCTTGTAAGTTTTGTTTTCATGTGTTCTAATATTTGGCAGCATTATTTACAAAAACAATGCGTGTTATGAAGTACAGTTGCATTTCTTTTTGCCTATCGTTATAATAATGCGCTCACATAATTAAGTCATTATTGTTTTAAAAAGTGTTAGTGTCATTTTAACACCGATATTCAAACGGTATTACTTGCAAATTGGTGGTCCACGGTTGATGCACAAAAATTTGCATTAGTTTCTATTTGCTTCTCAAAACAATGGGTAAGAAAAAAAGCTCAACTCCGTGCGAAAGGAAAATAATATGGGAGTGTTTCCAAAAACACCAAAATGTTTCGGAAGTCGCCCGAAATTTAAATTTTTCCCGTGGAAAAATAAATAACGCCATCCATTACTTCAAAAAGAACGGCACTTTTGAAAATTTACCGCGTTGTAAGCCTAGAAAAACAACTCCAGCTGACGACAGGCGATTGGTGAAGTTAAGTAAAGTCGATCCATTTTTAACATCTACAGAGATCAGGGCACAAATGGATGAACATTATGGGGTGGTAATATCTGCACAGACTGTCCGACGTCGTCTGCAAGAAAATTTATTAAATGGGAGAATTGCACGATGCAAACCAAACGTGTCAAAAAAGAATATCCAGAAAAGACTGCACTTTGCAAAGCAGCACCTACATAAATGTCCCAGATTCTGGAATTTAATTGTTTGGAGCGATGAATCAAAATTTAATGTATTTGGAAATGATGGTAGACCCTATGTTAGACGTCCTCCGCTACAGGAATTAAACCCCAGATACACAAAGAAAACTGTTAAGCATGGGGGCTCATCTGTAATGGTATGGGGATGTTTCACGGCATCCGGCGTTGGCCCAATTGTCCAAATTGAATGAAAAATGACTGGAGTTATGTACCGAAATATCCTAGAGGAACATTTAAATGGCGATTATTCCGATAATTTACCCTTAACCTACATATTCCAACAGGATAACGACCCGAAACACTGTTCACGAGTCGTTAAGGACTGGATTGCTGCCAATAATATTAAAACCCTGGAGTGGCCCGCCCAGAGCCCTGATCTAAACCCAATTGAAAATCTTTGGGGCATCATAAAACGATCGGTTGCAGCTAGAAAACCTGCAAACAAAGCATCCTTGTGGGAAATCATAAAGGACGAATGGTACGCCATCACCCCTGCGCAATGCTCCGCTTTAGTGAGTTCTATGGGTAAGAGGTGTGCAGAGGTCATATTACGAAAAGGATTCCCAACGAAATAATAACGACAAGATTGCTTGGATTTCTTAAAATTACGTTACTGACATTTTTGTCCCAATGACCTAATTGTGTGAGCACTCTAAAATGAATTTAATGTGTCATTTTTGTTGTATTGATTTTATTTTTTTACTTTAATGCTCGGAAATGTGTTATTTTCTTTAATTTGTTCCATTTTTATTTTTTAACAATAAAGTTATTTTCATTTAATTCCTAAGATTCAAAAAAATCTACTGCTTATATCGTTTGGAGGTAGTGTCTTAATTGTACGAGCACAAGTGTATATATATATATATATATAAAAGATATATATATATATATATATATATATATATATATTTTTTTTTTTTTTTTTTTTTTTTTTTTTTTTTTGAAGCTGTAGTGCACAATTAATTTGCGGATAAATCTGAGCTTTAAAGTACCATTAAATTGGAAAAAGCGGTTATAAAGGTTAGGGACTCGAGGATACCTCGGTGGTTTAAATTTCCATTAAATTGTAGAAAAAGGAAATCAAGGTTAGGAACTCGGGAAGATTTACTTCAAAATGAATTTCACAATATATTCGTGTTGGAAATGTCCATCAAAATTGAGTAAAAAGCCATCAAGGATAAAAACTCCACACGTATTAGATACCTGGGTTGTGTGGTGCAACTGTATTTCGGAGATACATCCATGGTTTAAATTGCCATCAAATTGTCTGGATATTAGATTAGAGAAGAATAAAATAATCGATACAATCTCGACTCACTCCACAACTTATGCCCACCAAAATTATAGTCATCTCCCCTTAATTTTGAAATTTTCCCTTGAATATAAAAAATTTTATCCCCTGCGGTTTAGAATAATATTTTGGGTAGAAAAAAAAAAATTTCTATGGTTTCAAGTATGGAGTTTTTAATAAATTTATTTTTATTTGTTTTTTGTTGTGGTGTCAGGATTTAAAACCTTTTTCATACACTTAATATTCAGTGTTAGTAAACAAAATGTTATTTATTTATTGAAATTCATTGGCACGAGCACCAACATCCCCACCTCATCTAGAGATATTTTGAAAGGTGGTATTGTGGAAAATTTCAAATGTGGTTACATTTTGCAACAATTCGTTGAAAATTTTATTAATAATTATAAAATATGTTTGCTGTTGCTACTTTTTCAGTCGCATTGTTTAGCTAAACCGCAGCAAGTTTTATTACGTATGCCGCTGGCAATGGCAAATACGATGCTTTTTGCTAGGGTTTTAAATTAGCTTAAATTTGAAGTGAAATTTATAGAATCAACTATTAAATTAATTTAAAATTTATTAAATACACTTAGACATTTTATTTTCTTATGAACCTGAAGTCGTAGAAAAGTCTTATTAAAATTTAATAAATAATTTTTTTTTAAATATTTTAAAAAAATTAAATATGCAGGGGTTTTTCCACATTTATATTTAGTATTTTTATAACATATTTTAAAACGCTCCCAACAATTACTAAACTTTAGGAATTGCTTATAGTATATATGCGACAATACTTCACCATTTTTATATATATTTAGATAAGTTGTAGGGAGTTCCTAAAAGTATGCTAAAAATGTTTAATGGAAATGTTAAAAAGTTACTTCACGTATGACTCTAACATGATGTGTAGGCTAGGCTTTATTATGTGCAACATTTTTGCTTAGGAAATAAAGGCTGACTTTCCATTGAACGATTAATGATATTAACAAGAAAAAATGAAGCCGGGCCGAATTTTTTATAACCTCCACCATCCGAAAGGAACATGAAATTTTCAAAAAAAATCAAATGGAAATGTAATTTTTCGTGATATGTTGTAGTAACGATTCCGAACTTTAAATGTGAAATTTGACGCAATTCCGGTGAAAAATGTCGCTAATATCATCAAAATATCGAATGAAGGAAGGAACCGTTTTCTGTCCGTCTGTTGTAATCACGCTACAGTAAAAACGAATTAAGATAGGAAGAGGCAATTTTGCACAGATCTGTATTTTGCCTGCAGGCAGGTTAAGTTCGAAGATGGGCTAAATCGGTCCACAATATCGTATATCCCCCATATAAAGGCACCTCCCGATATTCGGTACTTTGATGATTTTATCCACATTTTCAATGGAATTGTCTGAAAATTCACACAAGGAGTTCCTTGTGAGTACTTTATCCCCTGGAAGAGAATTATCTATACCGGTCTACGATATCGTATAGATCTCATAAAACCGTACACCCCGATATTCGGTATTTTAATGATTTTAGTCACATTTTTAAATGGAATTGTCTTAAAATCCACAAAAGGAGTGGGCACAATACCCCTGAAAGAAAATATAACGATATCGTATATCCCCCATAAAACGGCACCACCCGATATTCGGTACTTTAATGATTTTTGCGATGTTATTCACCGGAATTGTTTCAAATGTCGTATATAAATTTCGGAACAGTTACTACAACCTATGACAAAAATTACTTATGCAGAACCACGTCTTCGTATTGCCCCCATATAACGGTTCTCATTTGAGCGGTATTTTCCGACGGATTTTTTTTTTTAATTTTCAAGTTTCTTTCAAATGGTGGAGTGTATAAAAAGTTCGGCCCGGCCGAACTTAACTTATTTTTTAACTTGTGTTTTTTTTTTTAATTTACATGACTTTTATTCATTGCTGAGAAATAAGTTACCGTGCCCGAGAACGTGCAAACTTTCTTTGGTAATAAATGTGTTTGCTGGGATGTCATACATTTATTTATATTATTTCTTCCATCTACGATTTTTATAAAAATGTCTTCCTCTCAAATGTTTCTAACCGGCAGTTTTCCTATGAAAAGTTTGTTTTCTAATTTTTTGTATTTTCCCTTATTTTCTTTTGCAGTACCCTCAGCACCACCTGACAACATACAAATTGGCATGTATAATCTAACAGCCGGCTGGGTGAGATGGTCCTCTCCGCCGCCCCAGCATCACAATGGCAACTTGTTGGGCTACAAAATTGAGGTAAGTCACGACTTTTTGTTATATTTTTTTCCAAGTCCTTTTTCTGCCGTTTTTGTCCCCCATGGGGGGTAGGACAGAGGAAGCCTAGACAACCGCCAGCATACATAATTAATAGTTTTGTTTTCGATGCCGGTGTTCAACAGCAGAGTGAGAGAGAGGCTTTGCGAAATTTTCCAAAACAAATAAATAAAAGATGTCTGAACTTTCTCTGGGTTCCTCGGCAAAATGGGATACAATTTATGAATTCGTGTATATGTATGTGGGCACCTTTCATGTAAATATTTTATATATTCATGATGGTTGTTGTACATATGTAAATGCCATGATTTTTCGTGATACCTTTTTTTATTTATTTATTTGTATTTTTTCTTCTATTGATACACAGGTAACAGCTGGCAATACCTTGAAAGTTTTGGCCAACATGACTTTGAATGCCACCACCACATCGGTGTTACTCAACAATTTGACAACTGGTGCTACCTATAATGTACGCCTGAATTCCTTTACCAAGGCTGGAGAGGGTCCCTACTCGTTACCGGTAAGTAATGGTAGAAAGAAATTTTAAATCTACAATTAAAGGGACTTTCACCACATAAATCGAATATCCCGTGGATGTTAAAGAAATGATTTGGTAGTTTATTTACCCCTTGTGAAGTTGAAGTCAAGTTGAATTTAAAACCTAATGTACAGCTGTAATGACTTGCAATTTTTTTTAAATCTGTACCAATTTAATTTTTTTATAAATTGAGCTGAACTCCCTGAAAGTTCAATTCCCCCGACCCTTCACTTGTTTGCAATTTATTTTGTGCCTAATTAATAACATTTTCCCTTCCATTCCATTCATTATCCCCTTTTTTAGGTCTCATTATTCATGGATCCAGCCCACTTGGTGCATCCGCCACGTGCCCATCCTAGTGGCTCGCACAGCAGTGTAACTGGACACACCGGCGGTGTGGGAGGGGAAGGTGGTCATTATGCCTATCATCCCAATGGGGTGGCCGGCATGCCTGATGATGCGGCCACAACAACCACTCAACGCAAATCAACAACGGTGGTCCATGAAACCTGGTTTATGGCACTTGTCATAACAATGCTATTGGCCATATTAGTATCAGCTGCAGCTGCAATGTTATTCTTCAAGAGGCGCCATCAGCTAACAAAGGAACTGGGGCATTTGAGTGGTGAGTACTACACTTTTGAAGAGGGGCGGGCATTATTTGCATTAGAATTATTTTAATTGTTTATTGCATAAAAGGATAAAGGAAATTAAATTAAAATAGATTTTATTCATGGCTAGTTGGCTTGCAAAGGAGCTTTTGGGGTTGGGGAACCATAAGCATACTTTTTTTAAATTTTCAATTCAAATTCAACTCCATAAACTTTCTCAGTACATTTTTCATTACAAATTTAAAACTTTAAACCCTAACTTCCCCTCACAAGAGCTAAAAAAATCAATCATTTAGTAGAAAGTAATTAATTTCTGAGGACAAGCAGAAAAAAACTGCCAAACGAAAAAGCGCTTTAGCTGGAGAATCCTCTAGACTTTTTGACACTCTAATGACTTCCTTTATGGCTTTCCCATTTCAATGAAAGCCAAACGAAAAGGACACTCCAGGCTAGAGTTGAATCAAAATCAAACATGAAATCCTTAATTAACTTCAACAACAAACGAACTCAGCTGTCGGAGCAGAAGAGGATCAGAATCAGCAAGGCAACAACAGCAAAAAAAGCGAAACTTACTAAATTACACACTTGTCTGATAAAAGACAAGAGCAAAAATTGACAGTATTGATTACTTAAGAAGTGGAGAGAAAAAATGAACACAAAAAAATCCTTTTAAATATATACACAGACACAGATAGCTGTCTGTGTACTGCTCATCTATATTGACTCTTAAACTAATCTCTGTAAACTTTTTTCTATTCTTTTCTTTTTCATGTTCATTTTGTATTCTTCTGCAATTGCCATTTTCCTGGATTTGCGGTCATTTTGTTGTTTTTTTTTTCTCTTTACTGCCCGATCCATTCACATTTGGCTTTAACAGTAGTCAGTGCCAATGAGATAACCGCCTTGAATATTAATGGCAAGGATAGTTTATGGATAGACCGCGGTTGGCGCACCACCGATACCGACAAAGATTCCGGCTTGAGCGAAACCAAATTGCTTTCCAATACAAATAGCCAATCGAATTACAATACATCAGATGGTGGCACAGATTATGCCGAAGTGGATACAAGGAACATGAGCACGTTCTACAATTGTCGAAAGGTATGGTATTGGTAGAAAATAAAAGAATTAAAAAAAGAGAATCGATTTTTCATATTTTCCCATATTTTTGTTTCTTCTCATCCAAAGAGTCCTGAAAATCCCACACCTTATGCCACCACCATGATAATTGGTGCCTCTTCCACGGAAACAACATGCATGAAGACCTCGGGCTCGAGCACAGATCAAGATTCGGGTACGCATTCTCCAAATTCGGAGGGTATTAATCCCCATTGTGGTGGTCCCAATGGTCCAGCTGGAAAACATAATTATCATCAATATCCACCAGGTGAGTAAAAGTCGTAAATTTAGATTTTATTTACATTTTCATCATCAATTCATCTTATTTCCTTTTCCCATCCTTTATTTCCTTTATTTATGTGGCAAAGGGAAATAAAAAGTTTTCAAATAGACAAACTAGATTTAAAATATCTCTCATTAAGTAGCACTTGGTCTTCTCTCATAGAAGAGCACATGGTCTTCTCTCAGAGAAGAACACATGGTCTTGCTCAGAGAAGAACACATGGATTTCTCTCAGAAAAGAACACATTGACTTCTTTCAGAGAAAAGCAATTGATTTTCTCCCTAACAGAGCAATTGGTTTTTCTCCATAGAAGAGCAATTGGTTTTCTCGCATAGAAGAGCAATTGGTTTTCTCCCATATCAGAGCCATTGGTCTTCTCTCATAAATGAGTAATTTATGTTCTCATGAGAGAGAAATTGATATTCTCATAGGAGATAAAAAAAGGAAAAAAACTCCATCTCCTCAATTTTCTTTCCCATGATATTTTATTTTTTAAGAAGTAAATGTTTCCACGAAAATCCTAGAAGGTTACAAAGGCCACATAATCTTTTATATATCTTATTTTCATCTGAAATTTGTATCCCTTTATATCTGTTGAATTTATTTCAATTTTCATTCCATTTTCTTGAAGTTATTTTCACATCTCTTCTGTTACAAACTTTTGTTAAATATCCTTTATTTCCTTCACTCGATTTGTTAAGCTTAAAAGGATTTCTTTGAATTTCTGTTTCTGTTCTTCCCATTTGTTCGAGTTATCCTTGAAATCCTTTTGTTTTTCTCCTTTCCCAACGAAAAATTGATTGTTATTGACAGTCGCTTAAGTCGCTGTAGGTGGGATGGGGTGGTAGTTTCATTCTTCGTTCAACTTTTCCTGAATTATTTCTTTCTATTTTCTTTCGATTATTTTTTTGCCAAAAAAGGAAACTTGTTTGGCCTCCCGAGAGAGATTTTTTTCTGCTTAACTTATAGTCCACCTTAGGCTATTTGCTAAATGATTCCTGAAAGAAAAAAGAAAAAACAATCAGGGGGTTGGTATGCACAAATTGTTTTTTCACATGAATTCATTTTCTGTGCGGTATTTAAAGTATTTACTTTTACGAATTGTGCTAACAATGGCTGCAGGCGTACAATTTTAATAAAACATCCAAGTAAATATGCAAAGCGATTTGTTGGCAGGATGTAGAGGCTGAGCATGAGGCGGTTTCCCATAGCAAAAAAAGAACAAAAAACATCCTAAAGATTTAAACTATTTCATTAATTGTTGGATATTAAATTAAATCCTAGAAGTATGCAACAGTTTTTGTAGGTACATGCATTATGCCCAAAAAAAGATTTTTCATATTTTTCATTTTTCTAGCAGCCTATTTCTGCAATTATTTGCTAATATCTAAGCCTTAGGGTGAAACCTCCCCCTTGATCTTTTCATGACCAGCTTTTCTGAGAATAGCACGCAACAAATTGTTTTGTCCCCCAAGACCAAACCATTCCCCTATGTTGTTGAAGAAGTGATTTACCATAAAAACAATTAAGCTGATTGGAAAAATATATTTGGCATTATATCCTCAATAAATCCCTCCCACCTCTCTCATTCTCCATTATGTTCATGTTCATTTCATTGTTTCCTCATATGCCTTACGGCAAAACGTTCTCTTCGGTATCCTGCCATTATCAATAATGGTAACGGCATCAATTTACACAGCTAAAACAATTTTTATGTTAAATGATTTGTGTTAATATTTATTTGTTGAATATTTTTTTTCTCTCTCTATTTTCTTTTCATATTATCCTGCCTAATCCTCCTGATGCCACCAAATATCTCCCCGTCCTCCTCAATATATGTGTGTAATGAATGTATTGATGTACTGCTCTATTATATGTATCTGTGTGTGTGTTTGAATGTTAAATTCCACCAATACTAATACTAGAACAAATTAATTGGTCAGAATTTTTGCCACCACCACCGGAACATCCGCCACCAGTACCCTCATCGTGTGGCTATGCCCCTGGGTCGCCACAGTCCTCGCGAAAGAGTTCCAAGAGCGGTGGATCGGGGATTTCAACGCATCAAAGGTAAGAAATTAATAAAATAAATGTTAATAATAAAAATAAAATAATAGCAAATTATAACTACGAACAAAAAAAAATAATAATAATATATAATAAAATAATAAAAATATTAGTAAAAATAATAATAAAGAAATAAATAAATACAGGAAGAATTTGACAAAAATAATATTTCACTTATTTGATTAATTGTAATAATATAATATTAAAAATAACTATGCTAATATTAAATTTAAAATAATAATAAAAATAATAATTATAATAAAAATATAATATTGCAACTAAATCATGATAAAAAATATAATAATAGTAATAATAATAATAATAATAATAATAATAATAATAATAATAATAATAATAATAATAATAATAATAATAATAATAATAATAATAATAATAATAATAATAATAATAGTAATAATAATAATAATTAATAATATAATAATAATAATAATAATAATAATAATAATAATAATAATAATAATAATAATAATAATAATAATAATAATAATAATAATAATAATAATAATAATAATAATAGTTAATATAAAAACGGACCATATTGTTTTTAATCTAAAAAATATTTATTTAGGTAAAAAACTTAATTTTTTTTATAAAAAAAATAATTTTAAATTTTCCTCCCTCTATTTGCTCTTCTCTTAGCGCCCTGAATTCATCCATACACAGCAGCTCATCGGGTGGCTTCTCCACCTGGGGCATGGCTCCGCAGTGCGCCGCCTCGGCTGGTGCCCGCCCTCCACAGGAGAATTACTACAACAATCCCTTGCCATGTGTGGGAAGCACCCAAAATCGTTATCAAATAACTCCAACGGGTCAGCATCCTCCTCCTTTGCCTCCATATTTTCCGCCCGGAGCTGGTGGGACGGCACAGCTACCACCGCGCAATATACATATCCATTATCCAGCGCCCAGACATGCAATGAGTGAATATCAACCGACCGGTACGCACAACTCGAGATGTTCGAATGGAAGGTATGAAATTTTCAACAAATTGAAACTAGTCTCCTTAAAAAGTGTTCTATGTACCAAACCTAGAAATCTTCCTTTTTAGGAAAAGACACGTAGATAAATATATTTTAGTGAAGAGGTCCCATTGAAGGTCATCTGAGAAAAGAAAACCTTTCAGAAGTTTTCTGTACATCAAATATATTTTAGAGCTCTGCCATATTGAGAACATCTTCTGTATACCTTGATATATTCTGTGAATGCATTGTAGAGCTCCTTTATAGTCCAAACAGTTTTTAGAAGTAGTCTCCTTGAAAAGTGTTTTATATAGCAGACCTAGAAATCCTGCTATTTATTAAAAGACCCTGTGTAGGTTGTCAACACGTAGTTAAATATGTTTTAGTGAAGCGGTCCCATTAAAGGTCTTCTGGGGAAAGAAGGCCTTTCAGAACTCTTCTTTACATAAAATATCGTCCATAGTTCTGCCATACTGAGAACATCCTTTAGAAATCACTAAAGGTTAACTTTAGCTTTTTTATCGTCCAGAGGTCTAGCTTTGGAGGATCGTACATAGCAGACTTTTTTGTACGTACTAGATCCTTGCATGATTGAGGACTTTTCAGAGATCAATCTGTAAGGTAAGCATCTGTGCAAAAATGTCCGCTTAAGAGTTTCTATACAAAAATAGTGCTTTAGAGGTTTTCTGGGCATTGAATAGAGGAACCTCGGGTCAAGCTAAAGATCTTTATATGGGAAAAATAGCTTTCAGAGGACATTTTAAACAGAGGCCCTTCCATATGTTTCTAGAAATAATATGGCTTTGAGGAGTTTCATATTTAAACTCTGTTTGATCTTTACTTAGAAGACATTCCAGAGATCTGTAGGTAAATAGGTTATTTGGAAGTAAGAAGGCATATTCCATTCATAGAAATCAAATTTGAGGGTTCTGTGCATGAAATGCCCTCTAGTGGACTACTGGGCATTCAAGTTTTATACACTTAAAATACTTTCTACATAGAAATGCCTTTTGTAGTTCTCTTATTGAAATAAATCTTCTTCCATCTGAAATGGACCCCTAGAAGGTTATTTTCTAGAGGACTTTAATTCCATATTGGAGCTGAATGGGAATTGACTGATATATGGTCAATGCTTAGGTATACCCCAATTATAACGTGGGTGGAAATGGAATACATCTGTCCAGGTTTAGGTAAACGATACCTGATTTTCGATATTATGGAGCCTTTGTACCTACAAGATCAGCAATAATTTGATATTTCGAGTTATTTGGGGCTCGATTTACTCCTTGTAAAAACTGTAGGTTCAGTTTTTTATGCGGTTCTCCTAATCTTCGGCATTTTGAAGATTTCGGGCCGAATTTCCAAGATTTAGTTGTTAATTTTTACAGTTTTTAACGTCTTTAAATTTTGTACAGTACTGATAGATTCGCAGCCATTAGCTTCCATATAGGTACAAATACTACTTAATATATAAAGCATGCTTTTAGGGTGCTAACAAATTCTTTAGAAATAATAGCTTAGTTTTGATATATAGACAATTTTAACAACATTCTTTTTTCCCCGTTTCTTTCAGAGCCTGTACCAGTTGTGATGCTTTAGCTTCACCTCTACAGCCCCTGCCTCCACCCGGTGAAGGTTGGTATCAACCACTACACACATCTCACATGCCACCAAATTCCTCCGCACATCAAATCTATCAATGTTCCTCCGAATGTTCAGATCATTCACGTACCTCCCATACAAATGTTCCCCACGGACATCATCATTCCCATGGCCATGGTGGCCACAATAACCATGGTCATAGTCATCACGGTCAAACAACACCTAATGGCCAGGACACAATGCGTTCGGAAAGCAGCACAGAAAATGGTGGTAAATCCAGTGGACATCGATGTCACAATAAGTCACGATTCCCCGAAATCATGGAGAATGATCATCAATTACCCAACAGTTCGGCGGGCTCCTGCACCTATGAAGTGCTGGGCGAACCAATGCGTAATTGCAGCGAATGTTGCAGTAGTTCACGGGAGGGTGATACATGCTCCTGCAGTGAAGGTTCCTGTTTATATGCCGAGGCCGGTGAACCAGGTATGCCGGCAAATAATGGTGGAGGTGGTCCACCACCACCGCCAGCAATTCCCGGTAAACTAATGGCGCAAAACAATTGATATGCCGCCTGTATGTCGGCCGTAACGGCAGCATCAACGGCCACCATGGACAATGGTGGCGGTCTGGTAACTGATGTTGTCATATATTTTTAGTGGCCCTTACGTTTTTAGGAAAGTTAAAAAACAATTTGTAAAAAATTAAACCCCCTAACCAACTAAAGCAACAGCCAGCAAACAAACAGGAACTGTAAGTGTAAATTTTTGCGAAACCTCTAGTTGGTAAGCTTAGATATTTCATATTATTATGGAATAGGTACACATAATACAACATACCCTATAAATAGTTTATTTTTCAAACGGAAAGCAAATCGTATTAGCAATTCCCGTAACAAAAGAACATAATCATTTGTAAATTTGACAAGCATTGAGATTTTTTCGTAGCCATCGAATAGTAAATTATTTTAGTAAGATAAGATAAGGAAACATAGACACACACACATATACATACACCCACAACCGAAATTTTCGAATGAAATTGTCAAGGAATGGTCCTTAATTCTACAGCCATTAACCACAAACCTCCACCTAATGACATTCAAACAAAATTAAGGCATTTATAAAATTAAATATTATTTACTTTTTTATTTTTTTTTCTTCTTCTAACATTGGCGGGTCAGCCAGGCCACAATGTGTAAATGGCGTGTTTAATGTGAATTTTTCTTGTTGGGAAAGCCAAAAAAGAAGCAAAACCCCAAAAAATGTAGTAACTCTTTTTATATTGTAAATTTTTCCCTAAGAGCATTCTCCAAGCCCAATCTTTCGTATTTGAAGTGCTTTTCCTTTTTTTTTTTGTTTTTCATTTCTGTATTCAAGGTTCGCTGCATTTCCTGTTGGTGGTCTTTTGAAAAATTACCCCCATTTTAGCTAGGCTCCTTGCAACAATTGCATTTGGAATTGTTAAATAATTTACCTGTGGCTGCATTCGTTTTTCCATTTCTCTTTTTGGATTGCCATTTGTAAAAAAAAGTTCGGAATGTTTTATGTCACGATTCCCTTCCTTTGGGAGGTTTGTTGTTTTATGTTGAACTCAGGCAACTATTGTGGGGGAACTATTTTTCTTTGACGATTTCTCTTTTTTGGTTTTTATTTTGTCGTATTTTTATTTGCATTAAAACGACAATGTTAATGGTTTTAATTTATGTTCATTTAAAACATAATTTCATAATGGAAATTGAAACGAAATGCAAACAACTTTATGATGCATATGGGAGCATGCAATGTTTTTTTCAATGGAGTTTTCGTACAACGCTTGAGGAAGTCATAGGAATGCTTAATACCGAGGTTTTTAAAAAGTCTCAAGAAATAGTCTAGTCTTGATCTTTCCAAACTTTATCAAACAGTAACCTTTAGATATTTTCTTGGCATTGTTTTCCTTCGAATTTTAATAACTCCTGAAAATTAGACGCAATTCGTAGTTTAAAGCAGGATCCACTCAAAAAAATCAATTATTAAAAAATTATGTCATTGGGAAGTATGTGATTTATAGACATTATAAAGTCTTTGCACAGACATTGATTTTCACCTAGGATATTTCTTACTGAAAATGTGGTGCATCGTTCTACGTTTAGTTATAGCTCCCATTAAAAAGTGATATCTGATTTTTTCTGCAAAATTTTATCCTTAAATAAAAAAGGGCTTATGTTTGACAGTGTGTAGCCTCTCCCAGTTGGTAGACTCGCATGAATGGAAAAGTTTCCAGCATAGGTCTACTATTCTGTATGGGCCTAATATAGCCTTCCGATTTATGGTATATGGCATTACCGGCTTTAAAAAAATGTATACCATTGTCACCCGTTCAGTAAAACCCAACGAGTCTGTAAGGAGAGACAATCTCTTAAAAAATGTTTTTTTTCTGTCTTCCATCTTGACATGTAGCTTTCAAACTCCTTCTGATATTTGATATTTTGAAGATTTCAATCAGATTTCTCCCTCATATCTTTGTCTAAGTGTACGAAAACTTCCCTTAAAAAAGGTACATGAGATTTCATGACCCAACATGCATATTAAGAGTCAGTGAATTTTGTAATACAACACTTCTAACTTCAACACTTTGTGTATTTTATCATTTTCCATCCCTGGTTATATTAAAGGAAAACAGTTAATAAAACGTAGCATACTTTCAGGCTCATATCATTTCATCGGTACAGGGATTCATAACATTTTGTTTTTTGGTATTGAATAACTTTTCAGTGGGTAGAGATATTTTTATAAGGTTTCTTCTTTTTGATATCTACCAACCTGGAATTTTCGGCCAATTAAAGAGCATTGAAATATGCATGCTAGTTACTGAGAAATTCTAGCCCGTGAAACGCGCCATGAAATATTGTGTCAAACTTTTTTGGGCTTTCTTTTTATTTTGTTTATATTTACTTTCAAATATTTGAATTTCCATCAAATTCTTTATCGCTGTACGAAATTTTAAAATATTCTCTTTTATATGAAATCCATATTCAGAACTCAAATGCTTGAGTGTTTCTCATGGGATACTTTGCGCGTGCTAAGTATCCTTATGATTTTATTATGCCCTACACCTTGGAAAGGAGCGTATATTAACTTTTGTCATTCCGTTTGTAACATCCCTAAAATTCGTCGTTGGCCCCATAAAGTATATATATATTCATAATTAGCATAAAATTCTAAGTCGATTTAACGATGTCCGTCTGTGTGTCCGCCTGTCTGTTGAAATCACGATACAGCCCACATTATTTGACGTAGAGCGCCAAAATTTAGCAGAGCAATTGGTATTGTGTCTTGGATGGTTGGATTTGAAAATGAGATCAATCGGTCCACGTTTTGTTATATCACCCATATAACGGTACCTCCCGATATTTTGATGACTTTTGCCATATATTTTCACGGATTTGTCTGAAACTTGGTATTTGTAGGTCATAATGTAGGCCTAGTTCGTATGGCCAAACATTATTTGTATAGGGCCACGTTTTGGTATAGCCCCCATATAACGGTACCTCGCGATATTCGGTATTTTGATGATATTTGCCACATTTCTTCGCGGATTTGTCTAAAAATTGATATTTGTGGGTCCTAAGGGGTTCTAGCTCCGTTGGCGAAACATTGTGTGTATAGGTCCACGTTTTTGTATAGCCCCATAAAGCGGTACATTGTGTGTCATAATAGGTTCTAATATTTCCTTTACCCTAAGGTGGAGGACATTAAAGCTCGGCCCGGTCGCACTTAATTTTTTTTACTTGTTTTCTTATGGCCTCCACCAGACATATAGGGGTATATTAAGTTTGTCGTTCCATTTGTAACTCCTTGAAAAAATGATTTTAGACCCCACTAAGTATACACATTCTTGATCAGCATAATATTCTTACTCGAGTTAGCTGTGTCCACCCAACATTGCAAAAAACTTTACATATGGGCTCAAGTTTTGTTATAGACGCGATATTCGGTATTTTGGTTGGTATATGGTGTTCGCAAGGGTTATAACCTCCTATGACAGAAAATTGCTTGAACAGGTTCATGTCTACGTATAGCTCCCATATATAATTGTACCTAAAGATATTCCGTATTTTGATAATTTATATTGCACTTTTCGCCGGAATTGTTTCAAATTTGGTATTTGATCTTCGCAATGGGTACCTCTTCCTACGACGGAAAATAATCTATCTAGGTCCACATCTTCGTATATCCTCCATACCTTTCGATATTTGATATTTTGCCGATTTTAGAAACCTTTTTTAACGGAATCATCTCAAAATTGGTATTTGGAATCTACAATAAGTACAGAAAATTTACCATACAGGTCTACGTTTTCGTATAGCTCCATTGTGTCTGTACCATCCGATATTCGATATTTTAATAATTTCATAGGCCATTCTAGAATTTTTGAAATTTTGCAAGTTCCTTCCAAAATTAAAAGATCGGCCGACCTTAGTCGTTTACTTACTTATTCGACCCGGCTTTTTCACTGAAACCTATTTCTCCAATACCAGGTCATGGGAGGGGACTCAATTCCTCCCGTATGCTTCGTTTCTTAGGATAATCTCAACTTTATTAATCCTACTTAAAAAGAAATGTAATTGCGTACCCTCCAAGATGTAGCTTAATATAGTGACTGACACTTCAAGAGTATTCCTGACGATTTCATTTCTGAGTGACCAAAAGTACGGACACTAACTCAATCACTGTGGAGATATCACTTTCTGTCATTAAAGAAAGCCAAAATTGGTGGGCAGAAAACAAATACCTCCGCAAAGGAAGGGTTTAGTTAGACACGACGGATCCAAGACTTAAGCATACTTCAAGAGGAGTTTTGAGGGAGGAGATTAGGAAAGCCAAAATTCGCGGACAGAAAACAAATACCTCCGCAAGAAAGGATTTGTTTAGACACGACGGATCCAAGACTTAAGCATACTTACAGGGGAGTTTTGAGGGATTAATTTTCAAGTGACGCAGGAGCTTTGGACACATCTTGGCCTTGCCAAGGCATAGTGGCGCACAGAAAACAAATACCTCGGCAAGGAAGGATTTGTTTAGACACGACGGATCCAAGACTTAAGAATACTTCAAGAAGAGTTTTGAGGGATTCATTTTGACGTAGGAGCTTTGGACACATCTAGGCCTTGCCAAGGCATGGTGGACCCAAGAGTTACGAATAAATTAAAGATGTTTACAACTTCCGAAAGAAAAGTTTGCCAAGACAAGATTAAAATCTAGGCACTTCAGGGCTTAAGTATCATTAATTCTTATTAATATTCTTCACATCCTTCTCTTCGGTATAATTGTATTTCACAATTTTGTTTGAATGTTCTCAAAGTGGTTATGTGGTTATTTTCAAATTTCCTTTCCCCCATCTACAAAACTGTTGCATCTAACTGTGCCATAATGTATAAAACGAATGTCATAAGAAAATCAAGGACCTCTTTTTGATAGAATACAACAAAATACTGTCATTTGAAGAGAAAAGGAATAAAATGAACACACTAGCAAAAAAAAAAAAAACGTGTAAATTTATAGGAAGCCATTTTTCCCCAGGTGAACAAAAACAAATGGAAACTCAACAAAACTGAACTGTGTTTTTTAAAAAGAAATATATAAAATTTAAATAAATACAAGTTGTAATGCTAACTAATTACAATAATAAAAAATTAAACAAACTACTCTAAAATGACCTTTAATTAACGAAAATTAACATACAAGATATAAGGGGAGATGGAATGGCTTAAGGCAAGTTTTCATCTCCTTTGCATTTGAACATGATAAAATAATAGTTTTGGATAAATTTTCTAAAACAAAATGTAAACATGTTTTTTTTATGTTTCGTGTGTTCGTTCTGAAAACAATAATAAATTAGTAATGAAAATTAAAACAATAAAAAACACCCTCACACACAAACTGCCCCAACCTTCCCTCAAGTAAAAAAAAATGAACTAATCCAGAAAGCAACAGAAATACGTAAAATATAAAATGCATTACTTTCCATTACCAGCCACCATTGTGGAGCGGTGATGGAAGCAACAAGAACAAAATACTTTTTCGACCAGCAATTAAAAACCATTATTTTTTGGGTTTGCTTTAACCAAAATATTTTTCAAAAGGCTTTTTTTAATAAAATAATTAATGAAAAAGAAAAATTATATATATATGAAAAAAACACTGAAAATCAGCAACAAAATATGGTTAGTGGCTCTTAAATAAAAGTGAAACAAAATAACATTTAAGTACGTATTCGAAATAATATTTAAAACAAAAGAACTTACGAACTACTTATTAAAATGAAATTTAAGTTAATACAAAGAGGTTAGGTGCAAATGTGGGAGGAGGGTAAATTAATTGGAAACAGTGGTATGAGAATTTGAAATTAATTTTTTAAGGATTTTTAACGATTTGATTTGTCACGTAGTTCCGCCGAAGCTAAAATTGCAGTCGCAGTTGAAAACAATATAAATTGGAAATTAGAAAAAATTTTTGTAATTTTTTTTGCATTTGAAGCTTAATTAGACTACAAATCTAATTTTTTATGACATTAAAGAGGCGAACACTTAATGCCCATTAAACTTCATACCGGAATTTTCAAACAAATCTGTCATCGTATTATTAATATTCTTCTGAAAAATGAGACGCATAAAAAAGAAGGGTTTGTTGTTTGCCTAAAAGTATGCTTAGAAATGTGAAAATTAATTATTTTCCCAAACTTCAATACTTTTGTATGTCACAAAACATATTTTTATACCCTCCACCATTCTATGGAGAGTATATTAACTTTGTCATTCCGTTTCTAACTCCTCGAAATATTTATAATAGACCCTACAAAGTATATATATTCTGGATCAGCGTAAAATTCTAAGACGATCTAGTGCTGTCCTTCTGTGGAAATCACTCTAGCTTCCGAACGAAATGTAGTAGATTGATAAAATTTTACTCAAATGTATATTATGTCTGCAGGACTTTCGGTTTCGAAAATGGGCCATGTGGGTCTACGTTTTGGTATAGCTCCCATATAACGGTACCTCCCGATACTCGGTATTTTGATTAATTTAGTGACATTATTCACCGGAAATTTTTCAAATTTGGTATTTGAAGTTCGAAATGGATATTACAGCCTAAGACAGGAAATTGTCTGTGCATGTCCTCGTATAGCCCCCATATAACGGTACCTCCCGATATTCGGTACTTTGTTGATTTTAGCGACATTATTCACCGAAATTGTTTTAAATTTCGTATTGGAAGATCTTAATGGGTATTACAACTTATGGCAAAAAAAAATCGTATGCAGGTCCACGTCTTCGTATAGCCAAATTACGGTTCCTCCTGATACTCCATATTTTCATGAATTTTGCGACATTATTCACCGTAATTGTAACAAATTTCGTATTTGAAGTTTGTAATGGGCACTACAGCCTATGACAAAAAATTTCGTATGTAGGTCCACATCTTCGTATATTCCCCATATAACGGTATTTTAAGGGGCAGTTTTCGGATTTTTTTTTAATTTTTCAAGTTCTTTCCAAATGATGGAGAGTATTAAAAGTTCGGCCCGACCACTGTTCCTAATACCTTCCCTCTCCCCAATATTTAAATATTAACCTCTTACCTTAAATTTTGTACTACATATTTAAAACTAGAAGAAAAAACTAAAAATGTACCTGTGATATACATATTTCATCGTGTTTTTAATTATAATAGTTATTATAGTAATTAACAATATTTTGTTTTTTTTTGTATTTTTCATTTAATTTTTATAAAAAACATAACTTTCCTTAATTTGTTTTTCAAGTTCGTTTTTTTTTTCGTTTGTCATAATGTTCTCAAATATTTTAAGTTGAAATATTTTTAATATAGCAAATAAAAAAATTAATAGAATAAGAATATTAACATTTAATAACAGAAACAAGCAAAACAATACGAAATCGAAATTATTAAAAAGTTTTAATACATGGAAGCGAAACAAAACTAATAGAAAAAATATGAAAGTTGCATAACAAATTTCCAATTAAATGGCATTTTCTGATAAGTAAATTTAAACTTAATTAGAGAATATAAAAACTAAAATAAGTTATAAATTAAAAAAATAAATCAATAAAACAAACAAATTATACTAAAAAACCAAGGCATTTATGTTAATTTAAGCATAGCCATTAAGTAAATAATAATAATAAAAAAACACAAAAACATTTTGTAAATATAACTAAATTTTAGAGTAATTTATTACAAAAAATAAACTCACACAGACACATGATTAAAAAAAATAAAAACAGAATCAAAATTACTTACTAGAATTAGAAAGTCATGTAAACAACATAAATAACAAACAAATAAATCCCTTTTGTGCTTTCATTTGTAAAAAAGGTTACGTTTCATAAATAAATCCCCAAATCAAACTGTAAAACAAATTTTTTGTTTAATTTCAAATTTTTTGTTTTTCCTTCAAAAAATTTTCCAATTAAATTTGTAATTTAATACTTTCATCCCCTACCACTTACAAACCAAATTTGTAATTTTTTTATTTATCCATAATTAAATTTTATTGATAAAAACACACACCCACACACATACATGCATAAATAAATACAAACCATGAAGTATAGACTGTTGTTTGTTTAAGGCCATATTATTATTATTATGATTACATGATTATTATATACGATTATAAATATATATATATATATGAGGAAAAAAAGAGAAATACATGTATTTTTAATTGTAACATTTATTTAATTTTTATATAAGCGCTCTCTTTAAAGATATATATAAATAATATATATAAAAAATAAAAAACAATAATAATAATATGAAAATTAAAAAAAAAGAAGAAAATGTGGTAACAACATTGTGTATAAACAAAACAAAAAATATTCAAATTCAATAAAGAAAAACATTAGTGTTCAACTGAAAATAAAAAAAATCTGTGTCTTATTTTTTAATACCAATTTTTCATTTGAAATACTGGAATCAAATATAGCCAGAAAAAAGCGTAAGTTCGGCCTGGTCGCACACCACGTAAAAGGAATTTGGAGATTAAAAAAAAAATAAATAAAAAATAATAATAAATAAAATACCATGAAAAATATAAATGAAATAATATGATAAATCATAAAAATACCGGATATAAGGAGTTACCTATATCCCTCATTTTCAATACCTAAGGTCCTGCAGACTAAATACACATCTGAGTAAAATATTATTTATATACTTCAATTCATTCGGAAGCTAGATTGATTTCCACAGACGAACAGACAGACATACGGAAGGACGGATATCGTTAAATGGACATGGAATTTTATGTTGATTAAAAATATATATACTTTGCAGGGTACTATGGTGGAGGATATAAAAATCCCAGTTTTGTAGAAAAATTGAATAACACATAAATTAATGTTGTGTTAATTCTTATTAACCTAATTCTACTGCTAATTCCGTTTTCCAAAATGTGGCGAAAGAGTTTGGTTTGGGTCTTAGGCAAGTTGGGGTATGAAATGACTAAAAAATCAGGTGTCACCATAACAATTCTGTACTTTGATACGATCTAGATACTTATTTCTCTTGTGCTCGTCGACTAGTTTAATCATTTCTACTGTCGGTTTGGCCCCCGAAATGCTTTCGAAAAGCATTTCTGGCTTCGTCGGTGCTGGCAGATTCACGAACATTTATGGTGGACATCGGGAACCCCTTGCATCAGGCGTAATTTGCCTTACAAGAGTATACCGGTATTTTTAATTCTTACACTTCATCTAATAGTAATAAAATTTTTTATATCCTCCACCATAGTATGGAGGGTAAATCTAAATATATATAAAATAAATTTCTGTAAATTACTGCGCTTATAGCCCAACAACCGCTGAACTGATTTTAACGAATAAGACAAATTCGGAATTCTCTTAGCAGAAAAGGATAAAAAATCCAGGAAAGGATCCAAAAAAAAAAAAAAAAATCGCGTAAAAATGTGAAATTTTAAAATTTTAATTTTTTGACTTTTGAAATGTACAATTGTAATGTTATGTTTTCGAATGTACATTTGTAGTTTTTTTAATTCTAATATGAGCAATAATTGGGGAGTATAAAACGACAACGGACATAGCTGTTATTTATAGATTTTATATATTTATCATTATAAAGATAATATACCATGTACCAACGGTTTTTTCAATATGATTAACTTTTTTAATTGAGTCGATTTCTTGAAAACTGAAATTTCTGGCGGATTACATTGAGGTGTAGTACCGAGTTATATGGTGGCGAAACTGAATTAATGATGTCGAAATATTTTTTTTTTAATTTAATAATGTCGATTTTATTTTTTTAAATTCCTAAAAAATTGCAAAAAAACCTAATTGCAAAAATTCTAAATTTGGAAAAAAATTGAGAAAAAATTTTCAATGGAATCGAATTTCAAAAAAGTCAATAATTCTATTGACAAACTTCGTAAGGACCTTTAAACATTTGCTGTAAAAAAACCGCTAACAAGTTGAAGATTTTTTCTTTTTTCAATTTGTTTTTCTATTTTTGTCAATTTTATATAATGTACGACTTTTTTGGCTTATCATACTGCATTTAATTGGTTTTTGTGAACAAAATAAAGAATTATTTTCACCATATAAAAGAAAGTTATGTTAGTTACTACGCCTATAACCCAAGAACGGCTTGACGGATTTTAAAAATGACGGCGACTCCAAATGTCCTGAAATGGATTTCTTGCAAATAGACCAATGACCTCAAAACGTCATTACGATGCAGCAAATGATATATGTACACCCCCTGTAGCCATGTGGCGGGGGGTATAAATCGGATAATCATATAATAGCTTTCTACTACATTGGAAATACTTTTTTTATTTCTATATGGAAGTCGATATAGAATAGTTCCTTCACTTATGTGAAATATGTGATAATTTTTAGATGATGTTCAAATGTGAGTGAGTTACCAGATACAATCGATAGACAGATATAGTCCTTTTTCATACTTCATCTAATACACATAAAAATATTGGTATGGTTAAGATTAAAAGAAAATCGAAATTTTTATATCAAATTTTATGCGAAATCATAAATTCCATATTCATCCCACGTTTCTAGTTGAGAGAAATATTTAGTTGTACAGAACCGCTGATTTATTTCGCAATATATGATTGATAAAAGTATTGACAATTGTGACCCTTTGCAGGTGAGATAGCAGAAGGGGGTCGCAGATATATATCATCTTCACAACAGATCTTCTGTTAGCAAAAATATTTGTGTGTGTGTGAAATTTGAAGATAGTTGAATACTTATTTCGCTTCGTTTGAGCGTTTTGTTTTTCAAATCTGGAACCCTATGACTAAAATTTGAAAAATGTTGACCCTTTGTAGGGAATATACCAGAAGGAATGGATCAATTTATCCCATCTTCACAGAAGATCTTGTGTTAGTAGAAATTATGCGATATCTGACATATGAAGAGAATCGGATTCTTATTTTGGATTTTATAATCGTTTGGGTTATTTAATACTTTGACCTTTGTGGATGAGGTACCTGAAAGATTGGTCCGATCTCTACCATCTTTATAACAGATCTTGTGTTGATAGAAATATTGATATATGCCAAGTCTGAATGAAATCGGAAGTTAATTTCACGTTTTATGAACTTCATGGATATTTAAAAAAATTGACACTTTGTGGGGGAGATACTAGAAGGAGTGGACCGATCTATTCCATCTTCATACCTGACCTTGGGTTAATAAAAATTTTGTGCGTAATTTGAAGATAATCCAAGTCTTACATCGCCTGTTGTAAGAGTTATAATTATTCAAAATTTTTACCATTTGAAAGGGAGGTTCTTGATGGAGTGGACCGACATTGTCCATTTTCACACCTGACATAGCGCAGATGCAAATATTAGGATTTGTAGGATTTGTTGGAACAAAATCGGATTATCCTTTCTCTTTCTGTTCAGTAAAATATCTTTTTTTTGGGGGGGGGGTGGGGTGTTGTATTAAAAAGAGTGGGCTTGTATTTCTCATCTCCGAATTCGATCTAGGTTTGATAATAATATTACAATGTACCAAGTTTTGACCCAATCGTACACTCCATTCGACAGTTATCGTGCGCACCAGCTAGCAGACAGACCGACGGACGTCGCTAGATCGACTGCAAATGCCCTGAAACGCATTTGGCCTAAAACCGTTATTTCGATGAGTCACGTTTTGATCGTATCAAATGATATTTACCCTCTGAAGCCATATGACTGAGGGTATAAACACGGCATCCCAAATAAACTGCAAACACATTTGGAAAACTATATCGATAACAGGATTTTTGTGAACCTAGTTTCGCAGATTTTATATTTTTCTCTCTTCTTTTAGACTAGAGCTTTGGTCCTGTTCCCACCTTTTTGATGAACAATTTTTTAGGTAAACTGAAATCACTGGGGGTGGAAAATATGGAGTTAATCTTTTTTGAATCGATTCTTTTACATTTTATTATCTCAGATGACTTATTTTATGAAAACTTTTAATATCACTGATTTTACCAATTAAATCGACCTTTTTATACGCTACACCACATAGTGGTAAAGGTATTATGTCTTTCTGCATTTTTTTGTAACACGGAGAAGAAAGCGAGACAGACACATAGTTACTTTTGAGGATCTTCATACAAACACTTTCTGAGATAGATTTATGCATGTCAGTTATCATAATTTATTTGGCCCAAGGGCGAACCCTTTTGAAATTGAGGAGAATTGGTTCAAATTTAGTCATAGCTTGCATATATTTCTTCACCCGATTTCGGGTTAATTATGGACCAAATGCCAAATATCACTCCAAATGACTTGGATGTTGGTAGATCCGCCCGAATTCAGTTTAGAAGCAACTACATCAAATTTGGAGAAAAAAGGTTCAGATATAGCTTAAGCTCTCATATATATGTTTCATCCGATTTGGTGTTTAACTCCCACACATTAATATGAATTCAAAAACAATGATATTAAGTACTAGATATCAGATACAGCCCAGAAAGTCCTCTGAAAATTGTTATGAAGATCGGTCAGATTTGGATATAGCTCCCATATATATCTTCATCCGATTTCGGGTCAATTGTTCACCAACTGGCCAATTTCAGTCCAAAAGTCCTGAATTTTGGTACATCTGACCGAATTCAGTATAAAAACAAGTACATCAAATTTGAAATTCCCATTATATCCGATTTGGTAATATGCACATTCGTAATATGCACCCCACAAAAATGATGTTAGGTATCAGATATCAAATACAGCCCAGAAATA